TAATTTTATGGTAAACAAAATAAAGTATGTGAAAGGAATTTTGTCTCGACTTATATAAAATTATTTTTGAAAAGTATTTTTAGGGGAATTCAAACACCCTCATAAATATACAAACACATACAATGTGGCATATTAATGTTCAAATTTTTGTTGGAAGAAGTGTCCACGTTTAGCACTCAATAGTGTCTTGAATAAAACTATCTCTAATAGAAAGATATCTATACGAAGGGGAATGTAACTTATTTTTTAAATAATTGAATTATGCAAACGGAAAAGTTGGTTGAAATTAGTTAATAATAAATATGTAAAAAATATAACTTATTTTTTAAAAACACCTTTTTTTTTATGGAGAGAGAATGAATGAATAGATAATGAATATAATAAAATTATCCAACAATAAATGAGAGGAGAAAATAAAAGGCAATATTAAAAATTTCAGACAAACTATTTGTTTTTTCATAAATAGAAATAGGTAATCTTTTCAAAACAATTCTCTTATACCACTATATAAGATGGAAGGAAATATATAGGAATCTTTAAACCTAAGGGGTGACGCAGAGAAAGAGACTTTGCATGCATGAAAGCTAAGTTGAATTGAATGATTAGTGACGTGTCTTCAATGAATATACAATTAACCAAAACTATTTATGACTAATTAAGTTTGAGTTTAATTGATAACGAAACAAAAGAAAAATCTAGAAAAGTAAACATAATAATAATAATAATAATAATAATAATAATAATAATAATAATAATAATAATAATAATAATAATAATAATAATTGGTAATAACTATTATTGAGGGGAATGGATGGATCTCATTTTGGCGCTTTGCCATGATGCATGCATGAGATGTGTCACGTGAATTTCATCTTCCATATATGCCTTCCCCACTATAATAATTACACCACGCATATTAATTAATTAGTTAATTCGGTTTTGGATAATTATTTATTTTTCTGTAAATCAAATAATTTTATTTCTCTATATCTATAACTCACATCTATATATTATACCAATTTATAAACAAGTAGTATTTATTTACAAATTTAAATCACATGACTCGTTATATAGAATTATGAGCAATACACATGCACACTTGTATTTAAATGTAGTTGTGAACAAAATATTAGCATTTTATTTTTTTAATTAATAAAATAAGTTATATTATTCATAATTAGTATGCACCTTGTTATACATTTTACAGTACGTACAATAATAGCTATTGTTATTGAGCTTGTTATATTTTTATGCATGATGGGATATTATTTTGCGATTTATGCACAACAGAAGGAAAATATTTTTCCAATTATCAAAAAGAATTTTGAGATTTAAATATTAAACACATTAATTTCATGTAAATAGTTAATCATATATGTATTCTTTGTGCTCTTAGTTGAAATAATTGGAGAGCAACTTTTTAAAATACGAGACCTACCAGAACTTTGGAGAGACGCTCCCAATACACAAGTCATCTAATTTTTTTTTCCCAAAAACAAATATGAAAATAACAGGAGAATATTGAAAATATCGAAAAATACCTTTAAAAAAAAGAATAGAGAAATGAATAGTTTTGAAATTTAAGATAAAATGGGATTGGGAGGGTGGGCCGGCAGGTGGATGTTCCCCGGGGAACAACACACAGACCCCATCCCTCCACTTACCGACACCCAACCATGAATGCTATCAATTTAATTAACACTTCCAAAATAATTTTTTTTAAAAAAATACTTGTTCTGGTATCCATCAAATTTAAGCAATAAATTAGGAGAATTTTTTGTTATAAGTAGATCATAAAGAATTCTTTGCAAAAAAAATTAAGTAGATTATAAAAAATATTAGAAATTCCTATCAATTAATGTTTAATATATGTGATGTTCATAAAATTACCTCCAAAACATATATAATCATTGCATACATTAATTTCCTATGAGGAGTATTTCTTAAAGTGTTCGGAGTATAACGGTTTAAATTGAATTTTTAATTTGTAATTCCACAAAATAGGTGAAGATTCCTTGATCAGATCAGAGTCGTCTTCATTGAGATATTAACTATCAGATTATCATACGATGAACTAATAGTATTTAGATAGAAACCCTTATTAATTTTTGGGAAAACAAATTGAACCCTTTCTTTCAATACTATTTGGTCATGTTTTGCTGGTTAATATTTCTCTAGTCCTCTTAAGAAAAGATTTTTTTTGGATCTTATTTATAAGTCGTATCATTAAATTTTTAATATAAATATACTAGTCTGCCCATATAGATTTATTATTTTTTTTTTGAAAAATATATATATTAAATGAGGGTCCTAACTGTTGATTAAATGAAATTTAAGGTTTTTGCCAATTTTGATGAAATATATTGAGACTGACTTATAAATATGTTTAGAAAATTATGTCCTAACAAAACAATCTCAATTAAGGGATGCCACTAACAAGATTCCATCATTTTTGTTTCTATTTTTTATTTTCTTTTTTAATTACTCAGGGCAAAAAGGCAGGAGGAATATGCTTCCATCAATTTGTCTTCAAATATAACCGTCATATTATATATTACCATGAGAAGAAAAAAGACTAAAGACCACACACTCACAAAAACAGGACAGAGGGCCAAGGTTGATGATATCTAATAAACTCAGAGAGACTTTTTGAGAGACAAAGATGTAACTTGAATGATGAAGAAAGGGCAAAGCAATAAATAAAATTGTGGACCATATACATTTACCAATCCACACTTAGCCACAAAGCAACTCGATACAGCTTTTTGGGACACCTAATTTTACTATTATTGTACCCATTTTCATTATTATTATTTTTTAATGTCTAAATTGAAAGGGGGAAAATCCTTTGCCCCAAAAAAAAAACAAAAAAGATAAGAAGCGCGCCTGCACATGCTCATTTTTAACTAAATGCAGATTTTATAATTCTTAAATGTGAAAAGGTTGGAATGTGCCAAGGAACAAAAAACCGGATCGGACACTAAACCGGTTGAGGTAGTGGTTCAAGGGTTAATGGGTCAGACGGGGGTCAACTCGGGATCAAACCGGTCATATTAAAATAATTTAATTTAATTAAAAATGACAAAATATAACAATAATAATTACTAATAACAAAATATAAAGAAATACAATAAGAATTTGATTGTAATAATAATAAAGTACAACAATATTGAGAATTTTGATCTTTATAATTTTTTCAATAACTAAAATTAATAGTTATTGATGCCAAACTCATCATCAAAATTCATTTAAATCTATAATAATTGAGATATTAGGAGTTAAATGAGAAAAAATAGGATAAATATCAATATATTTATTTAAACCGGTTCAATACCGGTTTTTACCGGTTTTCACCGGTTCACACCGGTTCAATCCGGTTTGAATCGGTCTCCGGTTTAGCTTATGAACCGGACCGGACCACTGACCGGTTCACCGGTTTACCGGTTGAACCGGCCAGTCCGGTCCGGTTTTTTTTACACTACTTTTTATAGCTCTTATATATTCATTAGATTCATATGTCATATTTATTATTATTATTATTATTATTATTATTATTATTAGCAGTAGTAGTAGAAAAACTATCACACCACATATTAATAGCTTCTCACATGATTCTCTGAACGGCAGGGTGGACAAAAGAACTCAGCTTATGACTAAACCAGTTTATTAAATCTAAATCATGCAGAAGGAATATATTGAAATTAAAATAGGATGGCTAATTAACGTAGAGTTACCATTTTTTTAATATAAAGATAAACAAAAGATAGAGTTTGTTATGTGGACAATTAATCTTTTTTGCTGGTATATATGGTGCATTAAGACAACCGGCGTAAAAAGAATGTAGAGTATTTAAACAAAAATTATTCATTCAAAGAGAGATAATTAAGAAAAAAGAGTACAATTATGAGATTGGATTTCATAAATATTTTTACTATTTTCTCTTAATATTTATGAATAATGTATGCATAAAATCATCCAGTCTGAGAATCATATTGATGAATAAAATACATTTTTGTGCATCTTTTCTGAATTTTAAGTTCTACACTTATTGTAAATTCGTAATGATCATCGGACCTAATTCACTTTTTTTTTTCCAATAAAAAATTGTCCGATTTAACGTGCCATAGGTTTACACTCTACTTCTCAAATTTAGGAAATTTGAATTATCACAGGACTTGTTATTCAGTAACAATCTTTTAGTGTTTTTTTTAATAGTCTTTTACCATTTTTTCTTACAGAAATCAAGTACTCCTCATCTCCTTAATATAGAACCTAATTGTTGAATAAGTTTTGATCCTAAATATAAAACCCATTTCTTATATTTTTTAATTTTCTCTAAATTACCCCTATGGATACACCCTCGACCATAATCAAGTAGAAGAGGAAGATGGGGTATTAATAAAGATGATTATGATATTTTAAAAAAAACGTGTCACATTTCTTATAATTAAATAATTTACCTAACTTCTTTAATCTAATCAAATTAGTTAAATGGGTCTTATATTAAAGATTGGAGGAGTACATACTTTCAACACAGTTAAATTTAAAGAATTAAATTATATTGAATTGAATATTAAAACTGATTTTTTTTCCTTTATAGCTCAAAGTATTTTTAAATCATTTTAGGTTTGACATCAATCTCTGTTAAGCTGAGAGCATTAAGGTTAAAGTTCTTCTAACAAATATATTTTCTAAAATTTATACTTATGTTCTTGTTTTTGTTATAGAATAGACCGCTTATTATTTCAACTATTTTATTGGTCATTAAAGTAAGAAAATTATTTTTTACCCCTTCAAGACAAAAGGCCCAGATAAATTGAACTGTTTTGGAGCATCGAACGGTAGGAGATTCATCAAACCTGCCTGCCTGGCGCCTGCCTCGCAGCATTATGCTACTTTTTCGCTCACTTAAATCCTCTTCTTATACCTCTCTCAGTCCCACTCCACTACCCAATTATTCATATATTTTTTTGGAGTTTCCCAGCTTTGTAGATTAAGCTCCTCAAAAAGCTCTCTCTCTGTTCTTATTACACCCAAGCTGTAAAGCTCTCTCTTCTTTGGATTCAAATTTTCTAGCTTCCTCTGAAATCCCACTTTTTTCTCGTTCCTTTCCTTCTCTTCGCCAATCCTCACTGTTTCTACATCTGGATTCCTCCTTTCTTCTTCAGTTCACTCATCTGATAATCGTTCCTTTGTGGATTTCTAGGTCTGTTCTCTTTGGTTCAGAGAAGAATTTATTGCTCGGAATGCTGGGATCTCTTTGACACCCACTGTAAAAACTAGTTCAAGTTTCTGGATTGCACTTAGTTTTGAAGTTGACCCAAGATTCGTTCGTCTGAATTTTTCAGGAAAATTCCTGCTTTTTCTTTACCCAGTTGAATCTTCCTTTCGAAGGATGGATCTTTTTGTGAACCCATCTTCGCTGAAATCGAACAGATTTGAAACAGCTATATGGGCATCCAAGCTTGTGCTTATGTCCATGGGGATTCTGTCCACTCTGGTTTTGTTTAAAGTGGCTGTAATCCCATTTACATTTAACCTCGTCGTCTCCATTGTTCCTCGTCTTTGGGCTTCTGCAAGAACCTTACTTTCGCCACCGTTCGTTTACGTCATCGTCAACTTCATCATTATCACCATTGTTGCGTCCTCCAACTTCCACCACAAAAGCACACCCTATTCTGATTCCCCACCCGATGATCCCAAGCACACAACGATCTCCGCCGCCATTTCAGAACACGATGTTTCCGATACCACCCACCAACCCGTGCCAGAAAACCAAACCAATGAGCCGAATGAAGAACAAGGAGACGACGACGACGAAAGAACAAATGTTAAAGACTCTGTTTTGTCTCCGGTGGACCCATCATCGGAAAAGAACGTAGGCAAGGAATTCCCGCCGGATTCTGATGACTCGCTTGATGGTACGTGGAGGGCAATTATGGAGGGGCAACGGAAGACGGCGACGCCGATGCTTAAGAAAAGCGACACTTGGACGGCGACGATCAGGAAAGCAGAGCCATTGTTAGTCCGAGGAAATGGTAAGGCAGAGGACGACGGCGGCGGCGACGACGACGACGATCCAGCTGCCTGGGCTAAGAAGGAATTGAGAAAATCAGAAACTTTCAACGATACGGCGTCGTTGAGGAGAGAGAAATCGATGAGCCCAGAAGAACTGTATAAGAGAGCAGAAGCTTTCATCAAGAACTTCAATCACCAAATGAGATTGCAGAGGCTGGAATCTTACCAGCGTTTCATGGAACTGGTCAACGGAGTTTCTAATTAATAAATTAATCAATAATTAATGTGGTTAATCTTTCTTCCTTCTGAAAAATTAACCAAATTTGAGAGTCCTTTTAGAAGTTTATCGACCTTTTGGAGGTGCACATTCTGAGTTTGTGTTTGAGTTTTAGTTCTATTTTCTCACTGCATTGCCAATTCTATCTGTTCAGTAGAGTAACTCGCTATGTATATTATTCCGTAATCTCTGTACCAGAAGAGACCTCTTCCCAATTAGTATTAATCATGTGGAATCTTTCTATGTATAAAATTCTAGATTAAATATTGTTTATCTTATGTCTTTTAGCTCTTTTGTTAAGGAAAATATCATTTCAGAAAACAGCACTATAACTGCTTTTTTTTTCCCCCTCTGTATGACTTGTATTTAATTCCAAAGGTGACAATGCCGTTCCATGGTATTCTCTAGAGAATCTTTAAAGAACAGGTTTAAGTGAATCATATTGTAAAATTTGTTTTATTATCTCTAATTTTAATTATAAGACTTTGTTTGTATACTAGAAACAATATCTTATAATTAGAATCGAAGGTAGTATTTTATGTAATATAAATGAACATAACTATAGAAAGTTTGCTATCTAATGAGTTTGTTTTTGTACTTTGTTGTATGCATTTTGAATAGATTAATTGACTGATTGAGTTTTAAGGATTATCTAGATCCAGATAATCTATAATATGATTTAAATTGAGGAAGCGTTGGGGTTTCAACACGTGGCAAAAGAGGAATCGTAGAGCGTACAGTAACAAAAACCGGAGTTTAATAATAATGCGGCTTCACCTACCAAAAACACTTAGAATAAGTGCATATTTATCTGTAACTGAACATCTGTGCATCTAATCCCACGTACACTTTATTTGATTTGGCAGTTTCTCTCTTGTTCACTCTTGCTTTCCTCCATTGGCAGGAATTGCTATTACCACATATTTTTGCTCATCATCATATAATTTTGAAGCCAAGAGAATCATGTAACTCAAGTGCATGTGTTTCTTTTATTTTTTTTAGTAAATAAATGGCTATGGTTAAATCATACCATAACAAAGTCTTTAAGTCATTGTGAATCTAGAGAGTATTTTTGAAAGAGTTATTGCCACTCAGATTGATAAGACTAAGAGAAGATATAGGAATCTATGATGACCCTTATTTGTTAACTCCAGTTAACCTCTCTTATGATCAATAAGATAATGTGTAAAAATATTATCTCCGATCCTAAACATAAGAGTTAGTTGAAATGTTGAACTTGAATTTAGTTCTAAATATAATATTTTAGTATACTTTGTTTCCCAAATTTATAATGTTTTTTTCCCTAAAATATCCTTATTGTATATTGATTGTAAGACTTCCACCAAAATGTAATTCTAATGTACATAATTAAATGTGATTATTTAAGAAAATCAATATAAATTTGTTATAAATAATCAACTTAACTAATTTTTTTAATTTTTTTAAATTAGTTATTTAGCTCTTATATTAAGGATAAGAGTTAGTATTATGCCTTAGAATATTCATAATAAGCCAATTCATGCACTGATTTTCTTTTCTATAATCATGCTCAATTTTAATGTTGCACTTTGGAACTAAAACTAACGTAATTTCTTTAATATCTTCTGGAGCGGAAACCAAGAAACATTGTCACTGAGAATTTTGTTCACCACACCAGCAGATTCGCTAGCCATAATGACGTTGTTGAGTCCATCACTAACTTCTTATTGTTTCTTCTTCTTCTTCTTATGGTCAAGTTTCTTTCGACATACTTCTCTTGAGCTAGCTTCTCTGTAATCCATTGTACTCTGTCTGTTATTTACTGAGTCCCAAGCTGAGTACCGTGTTATACGTACCTGAATCAGAATCATGTGCGCTGGCTCTCTTGCTCAGTGGGAACCAACATGTTATTGTCTTTGTATTTTCAGGCTTTTGATTTCTAGAATACTCCGTGTACTTTGTACTGCAAAGAGGCAGTACCTTTCCTGGTCTTTACACGAGAAATTCTTAGGACTCCCAGTAAGAAATCAGTAGACTTTATCATTTAAAAGGCTTCTGTATATATTTTCATAGGCTTAATGTATAATCAGTTAGTGTTTAAAAGAAAAATCTTGTGTTTGCAAATGGGTTGATCCTAAACAGGTATTAAGTGTGCTATCATATTGACAGGTTTGAAATTAATCAGTGCATGGAAGAATTCTAAGTCAAAACACAACAAAGAATTACAGAGGTGATGTTTAAGATGCAGTAAATCAGGCAAAGGGTCTTGAATCTGAGATGTGAACCCCACTATTTGGGCAGAGATGATCCGTACATTTCTTCTTTTGGGGATGAAGTGAATGAACGAACAATGCATGGCATGGATTGAAAGTAAGGGTACGAATGAGTTGTCCCTTCAACTCTGTAATATCTTGCTTTGAAACTTCGGTTGTATGTTTTGGTTTCAAGTAGCTTAGCTAACTTGTCAATATCACCATAGAAGGACGTTTAGTCTTAAAATCAAACACAATTACCCAGAGTATGATAAATGAACATTAAAAAGAAGTATTATGCTGAACAATTATATACACGAGTTTTGAGTCCCGCTATATATGCATATTTTCTAATGAGATCTTAAATTATTCCTACCCAGATATGCTCATTGTAATGGACGCAAAGCATACCAAATAATATCCTATATTGGGGACATGATCACTTCAGTGGGATCATGATCTACATGTCTGGAAGCAAGTTGTATCTGCGCATGCCAGTGAACACTAAAACAAAAGATCCCATCTTTGGGTCACAAGTATGTGTAATGAGTGGGTTTGGACATACCCTACACCTAAGGACCTCTCAAAGAACTAGGACCTTTCTAAATTTGATTTTTCTTTTTAATGGATCACAGCTAGCGAACCTTTTCAATCAACACAAGAAATCAGACAGGACCAACCCCTCCATCTCCTGCAAATAGCCCCTCTCTCTCTTTTTTTTCCCTCTGATTACTTTCTAAATTAGACGAGTCTCAACTCAATTTGCGCATCCACCTTCTCTTTCCTTTTTTTTTTTTTTTAATCTCTTCGGTTATTGCGTCTGTAAAATTGTACTTGGCAAAAACTGTAAAATTGTACTTGGCAAAAAAAGTCATGTATAGCTTAGCAACTAAGTATTCTTTTTTCTTTTTTTTTTCATTTGATAGCAATTAGACATGAATGAATGCAAAGACAATGAGGAAGTTGAGGTTTTCTCATCGGTATGAGCTGTCTCCATAAGGGTAGGTGATTATGTCAACAACAACAACAAAAATTGATTGTTTTCTCTTTCTTCCGGAGGACCTAATAAGACCCAATGTTGCCATTGTCAAAGAGAGCTCTCTTTCTTCTCAAGAACAGTCTCAAACAACCCATGATATGATTGCCCTCAAAAAGGTATAGGCTTTGAATTTGGGGCTATACGGAGTACGGACCCTGGCAATGAAAAGGGCTGGTGCGGCCTCTGATCTTGTAGCTCTCGTGCGTTTTGATGGCTGCAACATATACTTCAATCAGAAAATATTATACTAGACAATCCATGTGGTACACTTCTTTCTTTCCCTTAAGGAGAAGCTCAAATCTAGATTGAAATAAGATTCTAATAATAATCCCTATATGATATAAAAACTAAAGCTGCAATATATATGATGCATGAACAACATAGCTCATTTCTCATCCTCTATGCAGGGACTCCTGCCAGTTATTCGTAATTAAAAAATTGCTCAACGTTAACTTCCAGCCTTTTCATCGCATTTCTTTGGGACTGAAGTTTTGCTGTAGCATGTAAGCTCAGATCAAAATATCAGATGATACTGCGCCATAAACAATGTATTCGTGGGCTCCAATTCGCCTATGGGAGCTCCCAATGGGGCATACTGCCTCTTGGAAACATAAAAATATTAAATAATGTCTAGGTCATCTCAAAAGGGCGAAAGGAATAGGATAAGACCGAGCCAGATTAATTCAAATTTGGCTGATCAAAACAGTAAACTCAACTTGAAAAATTAAGCCAAAGACGCCGCAATTATTTGAGCGGTGCAATGATTCTTATCAATATCATCCTGTACATCCACTTGGTGTCCCACTGTAACCAGTTAAGTGAGAAAACCAGTTACAGTACTTATCATCTTGATAAGTATCCTAAACTTGTTTGATCTGAACATTTTATATCTGATTTAAAGAGTTCAAATTTAAATCTTTAATTAATTATTTTAAATAGAAAAAACTATTTTTTGAAAGAATGATAGTCAAGAGATTGTCTCTCTTTTAAATCCTATATATATTAAAACAATTATTTTAAATAAACAAAAATAAAAAAGAAATCAGATCTGGACCATCCAAATGAGATATGGACTATTAAGGTCTGATGAGTTTATTGTGCTCATTAAAGTGATGAGCATCAAAACTAGTTCCGTTAATTGATCAGCATTTTAAACTCATTAGATCTAGACCATTTTGATTTCATTTGGACGATCAGATTTAATTTTTTTTCATTTTTATTTGTTTAAGATACTTATTTTAAAAGATATAGAATATAAAATAAAGATAATTTTCAGCTATCATTTTTTCAAAAAATAAGTTTTTATTTAAAAATAATTAATTTAAAATTTAAAATCTGAACTGTTTGGGCTCGCCCGAAGTCATCCTTGCTACTCCATTTAAACATGTCATGTAGTTGAACCTACTAAAAACCTTTGGGTTGGTCAAGATTCGGCCTCAATTAAGCTTGACCAGGCTGGAGCCCATTTTCAAATTAGGAACTCAAGCAAACTGGATACATCAAACTTCAGTATTACTGTATTCTATTTTTAATATAAGATTTTATTTGATTTTTATTTTAATATAAGACTCTAATCCATTTTGTCTCTCATATTTAAGCTTTTTTTTTTTTCAGATAATCCTTCTAACAATAATAGTTCTAACCAATATAATTGATTAGTAAGAGTATTTTAGGAAAGACAACACCTGTTTATTATAAATAACTAACTTAACTTATTTTCTTAATTTTCTCAAATTAGCCAACTAGCTTTTATAATTAGGATCGGAGCTAGTAGTTTTGTCCATCTTGTTCAGGTTGAGGGGGGGAAAAAGGAAGAAGAAGCAAACTACGGTCTTTGAATCCAAAAATATCGGCTGCTTAGACATGGAAAAATAGAACCCCATTGGTCTTTGCTGTGAAATGAACAAAGCTAGATGTCTAATGTGCTCTTTAACGCTGTGTTTGGTTCGATGGAGGGAAGGGGAGGGGAGGGATTTTAATCAAGGGAAGGGGAGGGAGGAAAGGGG